TCAGATACCTCAGCATCACTGGTGATCTTCATGTTCCTGAGGTCGGTTAGGTAACCCTTGGGATCCACCACAGTTTGTCCCGTGACTGAATCGGACAACCTATCCAGCTTCAGTGATAGCACGGTTCCTCTCCCCTGGCCAACAGCAGTTAAATCCGTGACAGTCTCAGTCCCACCAGCAGCCCTGCTCTTGGGTTCTAGTGAGCTCACATGTTCCCTTTCCTGCTTTGCTTTCTCAAAGAGTGTGGTACCTGGAACCGGGACAAAGCTTTCGAACCTCTTCTTCCTCTTCTTATCAAAACTATTCCTATCACCTATCTCCGGTATGCTATCCCACTCTTGGGCAGACAGAGTGTGCAGTTTTCTCTTCAGGTCAGCAAACTGTTCTGTGATCTTCGGATTCGAAGCCCGGAATTTCTTGATTTCCTCTTTCAGACGTGCCTCTCTCCTGTCTTTCCGGCGCGAATCCATCCTCTGATCGATCTCCTCCCACACCGCGTCAGCTTCTAAAGATCACCTCTAACCGTATGTTAATTGTGAAATTGTAGAAGCAATCTGATAAAATAACTTTTCCAGTGGTATTTTTTGTACTTCTATTTAGATTGATGTGGCATAGCAGAGATAGAATTATTCTAGAAGTCCTTCTACATGTAGAAATCCTTCTAATGTGATAACATTTTTTTTTCCTTTGTTTATTTTTTTTTTATTTTATATTATCCTCATACAATTCATAAACAATAAAATTTACTAGAACATGTATATAACCTATACTAAAAGACTAACTAAACTTTAAGAAAAAATTTAATTTATGATCTAACTTGTTGATTAAATTATAGTTTGTTGGTATTATAAAAAGAGATTTTAAGAAAAATACCGATACAAAACTTATTACAAATTTAATGGTATATATTTTGTTAAATTTATGCATTAAAATTCATAACAAATACCGGCATGATCAATACAATATGAAGCTCAGTAGAATAATAATTTATTTTTTGTCACTCTTCAACTGTGAATAAATTTTTGTGCAATGTATATCCTTGGAATTTGACCCTGCAATTTTTTTTAGAATAACAAAATAAAAAAAAAAATAAAAAAAAAAACTTGTACAGGCATTTACTGTGTGTAGACCATTGGAGAGTTATTTATAAACCTGTCGTTATATTCTATCCATGTGGAGAGAAGACATCTATTATAAACCACAATTCACTTCCATTATTGGAGATACTCTTATCCTCGTCGTCATACTCGACGACGGACGTGAACAATCCCGCGTCATTCCCCTCAAACTCATCAAACTTTTGATTATCACTGAAACCCTTCCCTTCAGCTTCTTCCTCTTCTTCGCCCTCTCTAGGGCCCTTTCCGCGGCCCAAGCTGGAGGCGGCGGGTCCATCGCGCAGATCCGGTGTGGCGCGTGCCAGACCGATATCTGAACGGGTAGTGAAGCCCGTGGCGCCACGGCCGAGTCCTGCCACGTAATTCTATGGTGGTTTGGCATTCAGGAAGTCTAACGTAGCCCACGGAGGGACAGACTGTGGCATACCGCCTACGGCGTGGAATGGAAGCCTAATCGACGGGGCCACGACGGTGGTTTTGTTTTCGGGGTTACCAATCACCATGGCTGTTTTATTTATTTATTTATTTTTTCTTTTTGGGAAGGTGACTGCGCGTCGCAACGCGGCAAATTAAAATTTATGTTTTACCTCAACTAACTTCTACTAACTAGTGATAGTGACGAGCAAGAGTCGATCCCATGAAGAGTGTGGATTAAATTGTGATATTCTTGTATTAAATGAAATTATTATGAAAGCAATAAAAGGGGATATTTGAATTAATAACTAATCTATCTAAGAATGAAATCTAAACAATGAAAATAAAAATAAAATAAAATAAATAAGAGAATTTTTTAGTTCACGGTTTCGTCTACATCCTCGATCGACTCGTCCAATCAACTTTGGCAGGGGCGGACGCAGACTTTAAGGACAACGGGGACACAAACTACGGTTGATGGTCAACGCCAAAAGTCAACGGTCAAATTCAATATTTGACAAACTAAAAATATAAAAAGATTGACAACTTGTTTCTTATTTAATAGATAGAGTTGAGTCTCTTATACGCATTTTAATAATAGGGACACATTTGATCCAATCTCTATATATTGTATACATATACATTTATGTATAATATTTATTTTTTTATGTATTTTGGGAGAAAAAATGAAATAAACAAGAAGTTGAGTATAACATATAAGCATAAATTCCACGACTTAAAAAATAACATACTATAGGAGAAGGTTAAATAATTCTAAACATTTCATTTTTATTATTTATATTGATATAACTTTGCATAATAATTAATAACATGAATTTTTTATGTCAATATAATAATATATTTATACATACAACATATATATACTATATTACACAAAATTTTACAGGGGTCCGTGCCCCTACGGGCCCCTATGTACGTCCGCTCCTGAACTTTGGTATCAAATCTCATTATTTTATGAAATTACTAGCCTAGGTAACGACACGGTCTGTTACCTGAATTTTTCCTTATTTGTAATTTAACCGTGAGACGCTCTACGATTAAACCTGACTTTTTGTACAGTCCAGAAAAAGATTTAATACAATTAGCCGTTTTACGTATTAGAAAAATAAGCTAGGCTAAGTAGTGACGCGTTCGTTCACTGAAATAGGTCGTGTTATCCCCGGTAGTAACCGTCTTCCGGTAGCCTCTTATGAATTAAACACAACAACAATTACGGATTGAAAATCTAATTCAGCTGTAGATATGAAAAACCTAATCTAGGTAATCAATCTAAATAAGACTCAACACATCATGGTTAATTATTCAAAATAACACAAATAATTCCAAAAAGATAATAAAATCATCAACCACGAAAATCAATTAAATATCATCAAGTACAAAGAGCCGGTCCTATAAATTATTAGGCCCTGGGCCAAACATAAAAAAATGCCCCAACTATTTTGATTTTTTTTTTAAGAAATAAAATAATACATTTTAAATAATACCAACAACAATTCAACATTCTTTTTTCTAAAAATAAAAATAAAAAAATAAAATTACAATTTTTAAAATATTGCAACATCTCAACAAAGCTAAAAACAAGTAAAATCTAACAAAAGAATCACCGGTACAAAAGATAATGTCTTGGCAAAACTAATATTCCAACATTCTTTTTCTAAAAAAAATAATAAAATTTCAATAAATAAAATGTTACAACTTCTCGATGAAGTTAAAAACAAGTAAAATCTAATAGAAAAATAAATATAAATCCCAAACAATTATTACAA